CCCCCACTGCCCTCAGAGCCCCCGTTCCTATGCCTACACCCACCTAAAGCCCTGTGTCGCAGCCACCATCACTCAGTTAAACCAATTAGTCCCAGTTATTGCTCCAAAACGGTATGAGGTACCCCCTCCGTTCAGCCCCAGAGGGGACACATGCTATCCCCTGCCCACTCCAGTCCTTCCTTGCTCTAATTCCGACACGTCTTGTGTGACAGGCTTGCTTTTTGCAGAGAATGAGCTATTACAGACAGTAGAATTTAATCCAGTACATTTTATGTGATGTCATTAAACTGTCTAACTTGCTGGCCTGGGCTGTGAAGGATGCACTCCTCCTGACAGAGAGAGTAGAACGCTTAGGACTCCGCGGTTGCTTCTGATACCAGAACATGGCAAACAGCGATCACAGCCCATTTACCTTCTCTTGGTCCTTCTCTTTCATTTAAAAAAACCAAAGGATCTGGGGGAGGAGCAGGAGCTGTAATGAGAAGGGCTGAGTAGCACTGGCCATGCATGTCTCCATCACCCCCCCAAAAGCAAACAGGAGAAGGATGGGCTCGTGGTTAAGCCATGGGCCCGGGGCTTGGAGGTCTAGCTTCAGTTCCCAGTTCTGACACTGCTCGTATGCCCCTGGCCCCGCCACTTCACCGCTTGCTTCGGGCTGTGACTCCCCCTTGTGGCATGGACTCATACTAACCCTCTTTCTCCCTGCGTGTCTATTCAGAGTGTAACTTCTTTGGGGCAGCGACTGTCTCTCACAGCGACTGTCTCTCACAGCGCGTCTGCACAGCACTTTGCAGCAGCGAGCTCTGTGCCTCTCAGGGCGCCTGTAATACAGATAATAGTCATACCTGAAAGCTTTGCGCTTCAGCAGGGTCTTTGTGAGCCTGGGATAAAGGTCACCGTTGGAAAGGATTGTTAAGCAATGTCCCCTGTCTCTGTTAGACCACTGGACTTGGATCGATTGCTTATTTCCTTATGAACTTTCCTGATCAGAAACAAGCAGCATGACTCTAGCTACCGCTTGAAGGTGACATGCCAGCATCTGAAAATACCAGGCCAGTTTGGATTAGCTCTCTGTTCTGCTTTATCCTTTCCGATGTATTTTGTTTATTCTCAGGGCAGGGGTTCTGAAACATTCCCATCTTAACAGCATGTGTGTCCTGTGGAAAACTTCCCCTTCCACCCACAACCACATTGGCCACCTCCCCTTGCGTGCATGACATCTCTCTGACAGGCAGTGCGATTGCTTTCATGGGAAAGGGGGAGTAGGAAAGGCATGTATTTTTAACTTTTAATGGAATTTAGCAGCTGGAAACCAGGGGTGGAGCCAGCACCTGTGCTGACCACAGACAGCTACTTGGATGTCTCTGCCTTGGGGTGCTTAAAGGGCTTTAGAGAGACAAGGTGAGGGAGGTAATCTCTTTTATTGGGCCAACTTCTGCTGGTGAGAGGCAAGCTTCAAGCTACCCCGACCCCTTCTTCAGGTTTTGCTGGACAAATCAGGACTGGTTCATACAGGCCCTGATTCAGGCAAGCTCCCCAGTCCAGGACAACACTTAAGTACCTGTCTATCTTTAACCTGAACAGGTGTGGCACGAAGCACATGGTTATGGGCTTTGTGAACCGGAGCCATGGAACCTTTCTCATTTGTTTTCTCGTCTCTCCTCTTGTTGGTGTTAAATAGCAAATTAATACATCAAATATATTTAAAAACTTCAAAGCAGCAGCCAGGTCTCCCCGCCCGACCCCTGGTGCCGGGTGCCAAGGCAGAGGGCACCCATATGATTGTTTATTTGTAGTGCAATAAGACCTAGGGACCCCACTCGTGGACCAGAACCCTGTTGTGCTAGGTACTGCACACGGGCAGAAGGCGAAGCTGGTGCCGGCTGTAAAGAGCTCACAAGCTGATTAACAAATAACCTGTTACTGTAACGTAGCCAGGCCGATGGCTCGCCAAGAGGCAGAGCCAGGGACAGCGCACGTCGGTGTGGCTCTGCTCGGGCAGTGGCGCTACGCCAGTTTACACCAGCCAGGCTCTGGCTGTTTATTTTTAATCAGGCTGACGACCATTAGCCTCTGATTTTGTTTCCCAATGTACAGCAACGTAGCCAGCACCGAGCGACGCTGTCTCTGCCCCTGGCCCAGCCCACAGCCTGAGCCCCAACTCCTGCCACGTGCCAAGAAAACGCTTCTTGTCAGCAATAATCTGTCCTGGCAGCCGGCTGCTGCTTCCAGGAAACTCCATCGACTCAGGGGCAAAGTGCCAGGCCAGCGCC